GTTGATCCAATCACTACTGCTGCGAATCGAAATCTGGTTGCTCCATTGGATAGAAAATCGCTTGGTATTCGCTTTATTTGTAATTTATATATTTCATTTATAATATTTCTTATTTGTTTTTATTATTACAACAGGTCTTTTAATTCGTGATATCGGATCACAATGGCAAAATGCTTTTATTTTGGCGTTGATATGTGAATTACTATCGAAATTTTCCGACATAGAATCGGAGAATTGTAAGTTTTAAATGTGAATTTCATAAATTGATAACTTTGAAATTTTACTGAAAATCTCTTTTGTAGTAAAAGAACCGTACAAAATTATCGAAAAATATAACAAGTTGGTTGATCTTATAATTGAATTGGGACTACAAAATTGTTTTAACGATAAGCCTATTATTAATGTGAATATTCTGTTTCCATGATTCTTAATAATGCATTCGGTTTGATTTTCTTTATTTTGTTAATTGTTTTATATTTTTTGTTAATAGGGTAAAGAACTTGCAACTTTATTGAATATCAAACAAGGTGTAATAATAGGAGAAATTCAAAAATCGATAATAGAATGGCAATTGGAAAATGCTGATGGAAGTAGAAAACAGTGCGAAGAGTATGTTAAGGATAAATATAAAATATTTAAGGTTTGAGTCAAAATTTAAGTATTTTTATATTTATCCTTAATATACTCTTCGCACTGTTTTTTACTTCCATCAGCATTTTCCAATTGCCATTCTTAGTGTTTTGACCCGGGTGGGCCTCACCCGGATAGCTCCCGTAATATAAAATTTGGAGTTTGTAAATATTTGTTGTGCATAGATAAATTTTGTCCTGATATTGATGACCTATACTTGAAAGTATTATTTCTCAAATTGGCAAATATTAGTTCGGTCGATTCTTTACCAAATTAAAGTTAATAAATCTTTTAAATGTATATTTAATATTTATTATCTACCTTAAATTGTATATTATTTTTTTTTGCCTTATAATTTTAACAGCATAATGGGGTTAAATTGCATATGTGTGTATTTTGCTCTCCCAACCAAGTAACAAGAGGGCCTTCGCCTTTT